TTTCTGTTTGCCGGCTGTCTGTGTCTCCTTTGTGTTGTATTCACTCTTGTTGTTGTCAACTCATTCCCAGTCACTATGGGACAAGATTTAACCACCCCTCTTAGCCTTACTTTAGATCATTGGCGCGAGGTGAAGACCAGAGCCTCCAATCAATCAGTGGAGATCAAGAAAAACAAGTGGACCGCCCTGTGTTCATCCGAGTGGCCCACCTTTGACGTCGGGTGGCCACGCGATGGCACTTTTGACTTGAACCTTATTTCCCAGGTCAAGGCGCGAGTCTTCAGGCCAGGACCCTATGGACATCCAGATCAGATTCCATACATCGTCACTTGGGAAAGCCTTTCCTTTGACCCCCCTCCGTGGGTCTCCCCTTTTCTCTCTCCCAGGACAGTCCCCCAGACCCCCTCGGCGCCCTTGCCGATGGACCCCTCCCCTTCACTCTCACTCTGCCCTGTAGTGCTCAAAACCAAGCCTGTTATCCCCCCCGATGATTCCGCTCTAAATCCCCTTCTCGAAGACTCTCCTCCCCCTTACCCACCTCTGCCCCCTGTGCCCGGAGCCCAGCCCCAGGTTCAAGCGCCCCCGGTTCCGGTTGTTGTGGCGATAGATCACACTCCCGGGACGTCCTCCCCGATCGCTGGGAGGTTGCGAGAGCGAAGAGGACACCAAGGGGATTCTTCTCACATACTTCCTCTCCAGGTGGGACCAGGGCCGGGCAACCAACTTCAGTACTGGCCCTTTTCCGCCTCTGACTTGTATAACTGGAAACAACATAACCCGCCCTTCTCCCAAGACCCTGTAGCCCTAACTAACCTCCTGGAGTCTATCCTTCTAACTCACCAGCCCACCTGGGATGATTGCCAACAGCTCCTCCAAGTCCTCCTCACGACAGAGGAGAAACAGAGGGTCATTCTGGAAGCCCGTAAACAGGTTCCCGGGGCGGATGGAAGACCCACCCAGCTGCCCAACGAAATAGAAGCTGCTTTTCCCTTGACCAGACCAGATTGGGACTTCACTACACCTGAAGGTAGGGGACACCTATGCCTTTATCGCCAGTTGCTCACAGCGAGCCTCCGAGCAGCGGGGCAACACCCCACCAATTTGGCCAAGGTAAGATCAGTAGTACAAGGGCAGGAGGAGTCACCGACGGTATTCTTAGAGAGACTAAAGGAAGCATATCGGAGGTTCACCCCCTTAGATCCAGATAGCCCTGAGCAAGAAGTGAGTATCTCTATGTCCTTTATTTGGCAGTCTGCCCCTGATATTAAGGTGAAGCTCCAAAGAATGGAAAACCTACAGGGACAGAGGTTACAAGATCTACTCAGGGAAGCAGAAAAAATTTATAATAAAAGAGAAACTCAAGAAGAAAGAGAAGAAAGGCAAAGGAGAGAGGCAGAGGACAGGGAAAATGCAAGAGACAAGAGGCGAAACAAGGAGTTAAGCAGGATACTGGCCACTGTAGTGAGAAACAGAGAAGAATCTAGAGGAGATAGGAAAGGAGGCAGAGGCAGGGCCCCATTAGACAGAGACCAATGCGCCTATTGCAAAGAGAAAGGCCACTGGGCGAGAGATTTCCCTAAGAAGAAATCAAAAACAAGAGAGTCCACCCTCCTAACCCTCGACTAGGGGGGTCGGGGCCAGGACCCCCCACCTGAGCCCAGGGTAACTCTTCGAGTGGGGGGCAAGCCAGTTACCTTCATGGTAGATACCGGTGCCCAGCACTCGGTTCTCACCCACACCACCGGACCCTTCAGCAAAAAGACGTCATGGGTTGAAGGAGCAACTGGAGCCAATCGATACCGATGGACTACCAACCAAGAAGTGCAACTGGCCACAGGTACAGTGACCCACGCTTTCCTACACGTGCCGGATTGCCCTTACCCACTCCTGGGAAGGGACCTCCTGACCAAGCTAGGAGCCCACATTCATTTCAAAAATAAGGGGGCAGTTGTGACCACGTCTAGGGGAGCCCCTCTCCAGGTGCTCACTCTTCGGCTGGAGGATGAATATAGACTGTTCGAAGAGAAAAATAAACCCTCTCCCGATATAGAAGGTTGGCTGTCCAAATTTCCCGGGGCATGGGCGGAAACGGTGAGGATGGGACTGGAACATAGAAGGTTGGCTGTCCAAATCTCCCGGGGCATGGGTGGAAACGGCGGGGATGGGACTGGTGACGAATCAGCCTCCCCTTGTCATTGGACTAAAAACTACAGCCAGTCCAGTGGCGATCAAACAATACCCACTGTCAGCTGAAGCCTATCAAGGTATTAAGCCCCACCTCAAAAGACTCCTAGAACAAGGAATTCTCACCAAGTGCCAGTCCCCCTGGAACACCCCCCTGCTCCCAGTTAAGAAACCTGGGGGGCTCCTCACCTCTGCGGGAAAAGAAATCAAAAACAAAAATGAAATTATAACTCTGTTAGAAGCTGTATTTCTCCCCAAAAGACTCAGTATCATGCACTGTCCGGGCCACCAAAAAGGAGAAGATCCTGTGGCAAGAGGAAACCGCCTGGCTGACCAAGCGGCAAGAGAGGCCGCCAGTAAGGAACAGACACTTTTACTGGTAGCCCATTCAAGCCCAGACAGAAAGGCTAGAGAAAATAATTATTCAGAAGAAGATTGAAAGCTCTACCGGGAAATGGGAGCCACCTATGACGAGGAGAATCGATGCTGGGAATACCAGGGGAAATTGGTTCCTCCCATGAAAGAGGTACGAGAACTCCTCGACCAACTTCACAAATGGACTCATCTGAGCCCTTCAAAACTAAAGACGTTACTAAAAAGAGAAGAGGCCCTATGTTATCTCCCACAAAGAGACGCCATCCTGCAAGAAATAGCTAGCAGGTGCCGAGCCTGCGCCCTGGTCAATTCCCACAAAACCTGGCGACACTGTCTGGGTGAGAAGACACCAGACACGGAATCTTGAACCCCGCTGGAAAGGACCCTACACCGTCCTGCTGACAACCCCTACCGCGCTCAAGGTAGACGGCATCGCTACTTGGGTCCACGCTTCACACGTCAAGGCCGTGAACCCAGAACACAGGGAACTACTCGGCAAAGAAAAATGGCGGCTGACACGGACTCCAAACCCCTTAAAGATAAGACTACTCAAAAATTAATCATGATTATGTCATTTCTCCTAGTAGGAACTACGGCGGAGAGTCCCCACACCATTTACAATATAACGTGGTCCCTCACCTCTTGGGGACCCGCAGGAGGATATATTCTTAACAAAACCCAGATGAAGGCACCCCTCTCAACCGGCTTCCCTGAGTCACTAACCTTTGATGCCTGTAAGGTTCTGGGCCCCAGTTCTTGTATTTGGGCTAGTACAGATGGAGGTGATGTCTATCTCTGCCCAGGACAGAAACAACCTAAGGAGGGCTGTGGGGATATGAGCGATGGATTCTGTCATAGTTGGGGTTGTGAGACCACGGGCAGCACCTACTGAAAGCCCTCCTTGAACTTGGACCTGATAAAAGTTGAGCAAAAGACCCCCACCATTCTGATTGGCAGCAGCGGCCAAGCAGGGGCCCAGAGGGGCTATACCAGCATACTATTCAGTCTCACTTTCACTTCAAAGGGAAAAAAGGCTGTCTGGTCCCAACCCCATAATTGGGGATTATTCATGTACAGAAAACATGCACGGGACCCCTTTGGAATAATCACCTTGGAGCGAAAAATATTCTCCCTCGAAAGAAACCAGGCGGTAGGCCCAAATTCAGTCTTACCAGATCAAAGAGCAGCCTCCCAGATAGAACCCGAGAGACGGGAGTCCACTAAAACACCTAATAGTCTCCAGGTGCCAGCCAATACACCAGCTGCCACCATGCCTGGCACAGGAGACAGGCTCCTCAACTTGGTCCGGGGAGCATTCCAGGCGCTCAACCATTCGGACCCGGAAAAAGCTAGAGATTGCTGGCTGTGCCTTAGTCCTCAACCGCCCTATTATGAGGGCGTGGCCGTTAAAGGTAACTATACTAACCATACCACGATTTCCCCTGTCTGTCAGGGCGCAGGACATCAGCTCACCCTAACCCAGGTAACTTCCAAGGGAACCTGCATAGGAAAACCTTCTTCCAACTTTAGCCTCTGCAGCGAGGTGGTCCCGGTGCCAGCAGGCAGCTACTACCTAGTCCCTCCAAATAGCTCCTATTGGGCATGTAGTACAGAACTTACCCCTTGTGTGTCAGCTGCAGTGTTGAATACATCCAAGAATTTTTGCATTTTAATTCAACTGTGGCCCAGAATTTACTGGCACCAAGATAGGGAAGTACTAAGGTATTTTGAAAACTCTCCCATCAGATTCAAGCGAGAGCCAATCTCCCTCACTTTGGCCATCCTACTAGGGGCAGGGGGAATTGCAGCAGGAATAGGAACTGGAGCAACAGCCAGATCATATTGTAGATGCATTTTTAGATTTTTAAGAGTAATCCATACTGCTTACAAGATATAGGTATAGGAAAGTACTTTCTAAATATGACCTCAGATGCTTAGTAATTAAGGTCAACAATTGACAAGTGGGACTTCATTAAACTAAAGCGCTTCTGTACAGCAAAAGCAACGACTAAGGAAACAAAGAGGAGACCCACTGAGTGGGAGAAAAACTTCACCATCAGCACATCTGACAGGAGTTTAATGTCCAGAATATAAAAAGTACTAAAAAAAACAAAAAAAAAAACAAAAAAAAAAACAAAGAAACAAGAAAAAAAATGGCCCAATTAAAATATCTGCTAAGGACCTGAACATAGAGTTCTCAAGCAAAGAAATAAAAATGACTAAGAAACACCATAAAGTGTTCAAATCCTCAATCATTAGGGAAATGCAAATTAAAACCACTTTAACATTTCATCTTTCCCCAGTAAGACTTGTTAAAATCAAGAAACTAATGACACCAAATGTTGGGGAGGCTGTAGAGAAAGGGGAATTCTTTTGAAGGACCCGACTGACAGCAGGAAGGCCATTTTAGAAAAAGAACTGTAATCAGCCATTCGATAAGCCAAGATTCTAACCCAGGTCTTGTGAAACTAGCAGTGGAAGATAGGACGTTTGCAGTCGGACCACCTGCCACCACCCTGAGGCCCCTACCGGGAAGTTAGTGATAACAGCCCCTACTGGGAAGTTAACGATAACAATCAGTTTCACCCATAGCCCCCTCTGAATTTGGCAATACTGTTTCCTCATACCTTGTACCCATTGAAATGCACTAATAATAATCTTGTAACCATGCATCTGCTTCTGTACCTTGCTTCTGCTCTATAAAAAGCCCTCCCAAACTAAGCCCGGCACGCAAGTCCTGACCCGAGCGGGACTCTGCATCTGCAGGCGCCTGTGTACGAATAAACTCCTCTTGCTTTTGCATCCCAAAACTTGGTTTTGTCCCTGTGTGTTAAGCGCGATTCTTCAGGTGGGGAGGGGAAAAGCGAGGGTAGATGTGAATAAAGCTGGTTTTATGCATGAATATAAATGTCACTGTGAAAATCAGTAAATTTTACAATTAATGTGTGACAGCATGAACAAAACCAATGCAAATTCAGTCAGATAAAACCAGCACAGAACCAGGGCGATGGGCAGGAGACCCCAGCCTTAGCCAAAGATCTATTGGCAGCTGATCACTGCTGGATAAGGAAGAACTGATCATCTTTTAGAGAGTGACACTAGATAGGTTGAACAGGCTTCATTGGATGAACTCAGACACCTGGGTGCACAAACTTGACTAGATATGCTTTGACTTATGTAACAGAATGCATGAAATTCTATGGGTGGTTTGTAAATAGGGTGCAGATAGGGGAGGGGATCTAAATATGATTAAGATATATTGTATGAAAGCCACAAAAATTCAATAAAAATGTACATTGAAATAAAAAAAAAAAAGAGAGAAAACCTTACTATTGGAAAAGAATCATTAGAAAATCCAAACCAGTTGGCAGATTCTGAGGGCAAGTTCAGGTGCAGTTAGTGAAGCTATGTGTACAAAATGGGCTATGATCTTTATTATAGTGCACTGGAGGCAGGAAGTTCATGAAAGTCTTCCACCTGCCACTGAGAAGAGCAAAGTTCTACTGGGCGGTTTGAAAACAAGGAATTGACAACAGGGTCAGATGTGTGGAAGGCTTTACAGGGGCTTGACATCTGAGGGAGTGGGTCAGACAACCTGAGTAGAAATCTGCAAGTGGGAAAGTTCAGAGAGAATGGAAAGAAGAGAATGAGGTTAAGAAGAGGAGAAATTAATGAGATAAGGAAATTCCTGGTAGAGGAAGTAATTTTAGCTTTCTTTTCTTTTGGGAGATGGGAGCAAGGCCTCTAGGTTGCCAGAATTTTAAACTAGTTCCCTTACTTTCTCAAGCAGAGATGCTCCACATCTTGGCCAGCTGCCTCTTGCTGGCCCCACAGATTGCCCTGCTCCAGGACCACACACCAATTTCCTCTGCTCCTGCTACTCTTTCCCTCTCATTAGTCATCTTGAATTTCAGGAAGGGCTCTGCTCCTGCCCAGACTGCTCAGGGCCATGGGAACCAGATACTTCAAGACACTTGTTTACTCCTAGAGAAAGACAAAGCTGGACTTCAACTTTGCAAGTTTGCCAACCTGTTTATGGGAAGAACATGTCAACTTTGGCTGCAGCATTTGGCTACATGTCAAGTGTGTATCAGGAAAGGTACCCGGATTTCTGTGTTTCAGTGCCCAGTGCAGACTCTGTGACACTCCTCGCTTCTCCCATTGCTCAAATGTCCTTCTATTCAATCCTGTTATACATAAATGGCCTGTCTTTTCCTAGCCTGACAAGACATCTTAGTCCCAGCCTGCAGGTAAATACCTTTATAGGAGGAGGGCACCTGTAAGACAACTATTGCCCTTATATCTGGAGGAAGATAAAAGGGATTTTTTAAATACAAAAACTACTAGAAGTAATAATGGTTCAGCTGGAGTCAAAACAGCCTTTGAGCTTCATTGTTTATATAAATCCTTAGACTCTTAGAATATTTAGCAAGTCAGTGTTTCAGAGAGCCTTCTTTTACCCTGGAATTCAGACAGAAGTGGCATTGCAAAGATTGAGCATGCTCTGTTCACTACTCCTTGAGTTTTTTCTTTGTTTTTTAATAGAGACTGTTTATTTGCTTCTAAGCAAAAGACTGCTGCTCAGCATGGCTCAGACTAGAGCATGGCTAAGACCAGAGCATACTTTATCCTGGTTTCATGCCTGATGTTCCTGTCTCCAAGCAAAGGTGAGATCTTTGAAGGATGGTATTGGAACTGAAGCCTTCATTCCATCTCTTTACATTAAGAATAGGCAGAGTCAACTTCAGTCATATAAACATCCACACTACTGCTCTAATCCAACTTTATCTGGGACTTTGAGATGAAATTTTAAATTATCTCTTATTTACAGCTACTGAAACTCTATTAGTTCATCTGCATAGCTCTAGATCTTATGCCAGGTTTATGGAGGCTGGGGGAATTCCTGTGTAGAGAAGAGAGGTATGAGAAAGGTAGAAGTTAGAGCTATTGGAACAAATTTCATCATTTTGAATTCTTGTCTAGAGGATGGAAAGCCTGAGAGAGAATGCAAGATTGCAGGAGAACAGGAGTGTGTGGTCACTCTGTGCCCATGCTGTACCCTTGAGTTCCTGTAGAGGAGCCTCAGCAGCATCAGCTTCATCATCCAGCCTTTGCCCCATCCTGTGCGTCTTCTTTAACTGTTTCTCCTTTCCTAGGTCAGGAGGTTGAAGAAGATTTTCCCTCTGCCAGGATCATGTGTCCAGAAGGTGCAAACGCCTACAGTTCCTACTGCTACTATTTCATCGAAGACTGTATGATCTGGGCTGATGAAGAGAGAGAGACGTAGGGGAGGGAGGCATGAGGAGAGAGACATAGGGGAGGGAGGCATAAGGAGAGAGATGTAGGGGAGGGAGGCACCTGCAAGCAGAGGCAGTGGACATTTTCTGGTATCCTCAGTGGCTTCACATCATGAGCTTGCCTCATCACCAACCTAAGCTTCCCCCTCGAATATGTCCTTCATTCTAAACTTTGCAAGCAGTGTTACTGATGGTCAGTGACAGCATCATGGGGAACATTTTCTGCACTGTCCCTTTTCTTCCATATTTATTGGAGGGCCTGACTATAGTATTACTCAAAACTTCTTTCTGCATTGAATTATCTATTCTCTCCTCCAATCCTCACAGCTTTTTTTTTTTTTTTTTTTTTTTTGCCAGAATGTGAATTCAGGCCACCTTGTGTCAGTGCTCAGCCTGGCTAAGGGCAACTTTGTAGCTTCTCTGATTAAGGAAAGTGGTACTACAGATGTTAATGTCTGGACTGGCCTCTGTAACCCCCAAATGGTGAGTGTACAGCCTCCTTTTCTGCAATAATCAGGAGAAAGAACTGGGAGAGCCAGGTCTGCCCAGTCCAGAGCCAACATTCATAATGTTCAAAAAAACACAGTCAATATATGGGTCCCAGGCCTTGTGGATATGTTGAGGTTACTACACATGGTTGGAGAGAAAGCTGAAGGCTGAAATTCCACTCTGTTCCACACATTCATAGATTTCATTCTATTTCCAGAAAAATAATGTAAGTGCCATTTCTTACCTATCCTGGGTGTTAAAAGACAGCAATTTACAGGTGATACAAGAGAATTTACTGCCTGCATTTGGAGAATCTGATGCTATGCAAAACAGTGCCCTCACAGCAAAGAATGTGCCAGATTATGAGAGTTTGTGCCACCAGAAAGAAAAATTAGAAACCACTTTCTATAATGAGCATTTATGTCCTCTACAAAATTAAGAAAAGCACAATTTTGTGGGACACAGAAGTTGGATATTACAGGAAAGAAGTTTAGAACAAAAGCAAATGAAATAGTGTAGAAATCAAGGAGACAATGATGCTTATTCCTGAAGCATTTCTTTGAGAGTTTCTGAGTGTACACATAGCCCAGATATTTCTGTTACATTCTGATTTGTGTCTGCTCCATTTGACTATCCCTAGAACCATCGTTGGCACTGGAGCAGTGGGTCCCTGGTTATCTACAAATCCTGGGCTACAAGAGCTCCAAACAATGCCTATCTGAAGAAAAAATACAAAGCACCCAAAATATATTAGTCTTTTAAAGATCTTATTTTATTTTTAAAATTAGGTTATATGTACATGTGTGTGGGTAGGTGCAGGTGCTCATGGAGGTCAGAAGAGGATGTCAGATCCTATGAAGCTGGTGGTTATGTGCTGTCTGACATGGGTGTTGGAAATCAAACTTTGATCCTCTGCAAGAACAGTACATGTTTTTAACTGTCAAGCCATCTCCCTAGTCCCTCATATTAGTTTTTAAAATAATGAATGTTACAACTTTTCCACACCTGAGCAAATCCAATCTCCCCGACCCTACATCCTGCTCTCCTTCTACCTTGGACATAGGCTTGCATTTGTTCCTAGCACCCCAGATCTCTAGATTACACTCTTAGTCCAGACCCACAGACTGAGTCCTGAACCCCATCATCCAGACCAGCTCAATCCTTCCGTCTAGTTTATTAGAGCTTTCACAGGCTCCCTTACCCTGAACATGCCTTTGCACATCTGAGATCTGCCTTCTATCCTAGTTGTCCCCACTCCCAACTTGCCTGGTATTCCAGAGGCAAGCTTTCTTCCCTGGTAAGTCTGACACCCCGCCCCCATCACTGTGGCTTGACTCCCCCACAACCTGAGCAAATCCAATCTCCTTGACCCCACATCGTGTTCTCCTTCTAGCCTTGGACACAGGCCCACTTTTGCTCTTAGCATACAAGATCTCTGGATGACTTTCTCAGTCCAGACCGGCCCACTACGACCTGATCTCCTGCACTCAGACCTGCTCGGGTTTTCAGTCTAGTTTATTAGAACATTCACAGGTTCACAGGCTGTCCCTACCCCTAAGCAGCCTTTGCACTCCTGAGACCAACCCTCTACTCTGGCTCTCTGCAACCCCACCTTGCCTTGAATTGCTTAGACCAGCCTTTTACCCTGGTAAGTCTGATTCTGTCCACCGGTGTCTTGACTCCCATACAATCTGAGCAACTCCAATATCCTGGACCCTACATCCTATTCTACTTCTAGCGTTGGGCACAGGACAGCTTTTGCTCTTAGCATCCCAGATCTCTGGTCTACCCTCTTAACTCCATGAGGCAGTGAGCTTTGAAAATTACAGTGTCCACCCCACTACATTGGGACCACAGACAGCCCCTCCCACTGCTGCAGGGTGAGGCTCCCCTGACCTTTAGAAGAAACCAAAACATTTGCAGACTACCTGAGATTGCCTGAATCCAGCCACCACCTAGCAAGCTTCACAAATTGTATTGTGTCTGCTGATTAGGGGGGCCCAGACCCCAGGAGGAAAACTGAAAGCATCTGATTCTCATCTGACTTGGTCCTCTGTGGGAAATCCTGAGTAGGTGGGATAGAGCCATCTGGTCCCTCCAATATAAAATAAAATGAGAAAACCCAAGGCCTAGACCAACCAACTTTTCATACCCAATAAAGAAAAAAATAAAGGCACATCAAGTATACAAACAGAAACAGACTTAAACTCAACAAGGGAGGGCTTTATTCTCACAGCAGAATCAGAAACAACAAAATAAATCCACATGCCAAAATTACAACGAAAAAATAAAAAATATGAAAATCCCAAATAATATGTCCCCACCAAATCTTCTACAGAAGAGTTCTACAATGAGAACCCCCTAGAGATAACCCAGAACACAAAAAGACAGTCATAAATATACTTAAAGAAGCCAAAGAATTTAAAGAACACACACAAACAAATCAAAGAACTAAAACAAGATAGGGATAAACCTCTGACCAAATTCACAAAAGAGTTAGAAATATTGAAGAAAACACAGGCCGAAATGAAGAAAGAAGTGAAAGACTCAATAAGTTAATTAGAAAAAGCAGGAGAAAGCCTCACCAACAAAATGAATAAAAGGGAAAATAGAATATCAAGACTGGATGGTGAAGTTTATGAATTGGAACACTCAAGCAAAGATTATGAGAAGTTTAAGAAAACGCAGGAATGGAATATGCAAGAAATGTAAGACACCACAAAAAGACCGAATTTATGCACCATAAACATAGACGGATCCCTTTATCCTTCTAGCCCTGGGCACTGGCCCACTCCTTCTCTTGGCACTCCAGACCTTTGTACGTCTCTCTTTGCCCAGATCTTGCCACTGCTTCCTGATCCTTTGCACCTAGACCAACCCAATTCTTCAGTCTACTTCCCAAGAGACCTCACAGCCTGCCCCCAATCCCCAACTTGCCTTTGCACAACTGAGACCAGCCTTTTTCCCTGGCTATCCCCTCAGGCAGCCCTCTCACTGCCAATTTCCCAGCATCCTGATCAGGTAAACAGACCTGCTTCTCTAGCATGCAAGAAGCCCTGTGGCTCAATCTCCAGGAATGTATAAACTGAATTTAGTGATAGTTGGCTGGTCATGGAAATAAGAAGATAAGAAACTCAAAGCCATCCTTGGCTTGGTCATCTTGTAATCTTGAGGCCAGCTTGTGATATTTTAGATCCTGTTTCAAAAACAACTAAATGAAATAAAAGCAAACAACAAACAACCACAACAAAACATTCTCAAATTCCATGGCCTAAAATAATAATCATTTTTATTTCCCAAGAGAATGGTAGTAGAAGACAGATTCATTCATCTCAAGAGGGTTAGCCAGGTCCACATGGTCTTACTCAAGGATAGCAGTTGGTACTGGTATCAGCTTGGGCTGAGATCACTTAGGATGACCACTCTTCTTCACTAATTTCTCATGTTGCATCACATCTTCATGCCTCAGTTATGATAAAGCAATAACAAAACACAAGAAACACAAAGAAATTAATATGACAGTATCCAATACATACTTTTCAATAATAACAATAAATATCAATGGCTTCAAAACCCCTGTCAAAAGACACAGGCTGGTGCAATGGATCAAGAAAGAAAATCCATCTTTTTGTTGTCTTCAAAAACTCATCTCACCTTCAAGGATAGACACTATCTTAGGGTGAAAGGATAGAAAAAATTATTCCAAGCAAATGGCCCTAAGAAGCAAGCAGGTGTTACAATTTTAATATCTGATGAAAGATATGTCAAATTAAAACTCATCAGGAGAGATAGGAAGGTTACTTTATTCTAATCAAAGAAACAATTGACCAAGAAGATATTACAATCATGAACATTTATGCACTAAACTCTGGAGTACGCAATTTCATAAAATCAGTAGTCCAGGACTATAAAAGGCAGATTGGCACCAACTCAGTGATAGTGGGCTACTTTTATACTTCACTTTCTTCAATAGATAGTGACTGGACAAAGAATAAACAGTGAGACATCTGAATTAAATGACATACTACAGGAAATGAACCTAACAGATACGTACAGAATATTCCACCCAACTACCAAAGAATACACTTTCAGCAGCTCATCCAAGTTATTCTAAAATTGACCACATTCTGGGGCACAAAAAAATCTCAACAAATAGAAAAAAAAATCGAAATAATTCCATAACAGAAGCTCTAGTAAATACTAGTAAAAATGAGCTCATGGAGATTAAACAACACACTCCTGAATCATAAATGAGTCAAAGAATAAATCAAGAAAGAAATAAAAGTATTCCTGGAACAAAATGAAAATGAGAATACAAAACAACAAAACCTCTGGGACAACCTGAAAATCATTCTATGAGGGGAGTTTATAGCTCTTAGTGCCTACATTAAAAAAAGCGGAAAGAGCACATGTAAACTACTTGACAGTACAGCTCAAGACTATGGAAAGACAAGAACAAACCAACCCAAAACCTAGTAGGTCAAAAGAAATAACAAAACTCAGAGCAGAAACTAATGAAATAGAAACACAGAAAACAATACAAAAAAAAAAAAAAAAAAAAAACCAAATAAAACAATGAATCTAAGGGCTGGTTCTTTGAGAGCTTAAACACAATAGACAGACCCTTAACACAGTTAACCAAAAGAAAGAAAGAGCAAACTCAAATCAACAAAATCCGAGATGAAAGAGGAAACATCACAACAGACACCAAAAAAGTCCAAGACATTGTAAGAGAATACTTTAAAAATCTATACTCCATTAAATTTGAGAACCTAAAAAGAAATGGGTGAATTTCTAAAATCATTGCCACCACCAAAGTTAAACCAAGAGGAGATCAATAGCCTAAACAGACCCATAACAAATAATGAAATTGAAACAGTAACACAAAACTTCTGATTAAAAAAGCCCAGGCCCAAATCAATTCACAGCAGAATTCTACCAGGCATTCAAAGAAATGCTGCAGCCAATACTGCTTAAATTATTCAAAAAGATAGAAACAGAGGGAGAACTCCCAAACTCCTTCTATGAAGCCAGTATCACTCTAATACCCAAACCAGGTAAAGATACAACAGAAAAGAGAGCTATAGACTCATATCCTTAATGAACATAGATGCAAATATACTCAACAAAATATTTGCAAACCACATACAGACACACATCAAAAAGATCATCCACCATGATTATCTTTATTCCCAAGATGCAGGGATGGTTCAACACACTTAAGTCAAAAAATGTAATAAAACAAATAAATGGACTTAAAAACAAAAACCACATATCAATAGATGTAGGAAAGGCATCTGACAAAATCCAACACACATTCATGTTAAAAGTCCTAAAAGGAATTGGTCTGGAGGGAACATACCTCAGCATAATTAAAGCTATATACAACAAACCCATAGCCAACACCATCTTAAAAGGAAAAAACTGGAAGCATTGCCATTAAAATCAGGAACCAGACAGGATTGGCCACTGTCTCTACTCCTTTTCAATATAGTGCTTGAAACTCTTGAAAGAGCAATAAGACAACACAAAGAAATTAAAGGAGTGCTAATTGGAAAAGAAAAGGTCAAAATATGCCTATTTGAAAATGATATATTATACATAAGAGATACCAAAAATTCCACTTGAAAACTGTAAGAATTGATTAAAACTTTTGATAAAGTGGCAGGATATCAAATCAACTTACAAAAATCAGTAGACTTTCTATATATCAATAACAAGCAATCAGAAAACATACTCAAGGAAACTCCCATT